AATGTGAATTAAACAAATCATAAGTAGAACCCAGAGAATTTAWCCCCCTCAAATCAAGGGAGAGCCCTAACAAACTCAACGCACATGTACTGTAATGCCAATTCCAGGAATCAAACCTGAGACCCCAGAGGTGAGAGGTGAGCGTGTTTACATGGTAATAGTAATTATTAAATGCATTGAAAAAGGTCTCACATRCCAATGATTATGYGCYAACAACTTACTGGCAACTCACYAACATCAAATCGACAGTTGGTCGACATCTCACTGAAGCACAACCAACAAATGGGCAACTGTTATTTCTCTGACAAACTGGGGACAAACGGGCAACAAGCAGTCRATCAGTGGTCCACAAATGGTCCACAAACAGTCGTCAATCGGTCAACAATYGGTCAAYAGGGGACCAACAGTCAGTCAACAGATGGTTTGGGGTGTTTATGTTACTATTACCTGTTAACACTACATCACTTTTGATTTTATTTATGGGTAACAGTAATGTTCTGACAGTGATCAAACTTCTTTTTAATAAAGGTGGAACAAATTAGCCAGTTGTCAGCATTAGCWGAGGCAGTTCTTGACTACCACAATCAATGCTCGTCTATTATGCAGAACCTTGTTACAACACTCAAGGACAGGTTAGAAATATATCTGTTGGCTTTACAGCTATTTTCATAACAAGCGACCTCGGTACTCTTGAGTTTCACGCTGAAATTTGGTTTTCYGCTGCYGTCAATCAAACCTAATYAGTCGGTAATTTTCATATTTTTGACTGGCGGCAGCGARAACCAAATTTCAGYGTGCAACTCAAGAGACCGARGTCGCATGTTTATGAAAATAGCTGTAATAGAAATCAGGGAGAAAGAGCTTTGGGTGCAAGGCTAAAAATKATGCTTGCTCAATGACGTCTTTCATGGATACTAAAAATAGATATCGCAAAGCCTCACGGGATCAATATGCAGACACTTTGTAAACAAAGGCTTTGTTTACATGGACAAGAGGAATAATATCAGTTTAAAAACTGGGATAGTTTCCACACAAATTGAAAAAAAGACATACATATGACAAGACATGCATATTAGCATGTGCGCTGGGCTTGGCTTGTCCACATTTCAATCCTATGATGCACAATTGTGACGTCATCTGTGAAAAACGCTAAGGCCATGACGACTGTGTATATTAACCTACGAAGCCAGAACCTTAAACTTTTTTTGCATCAATCTACAGATTATCTGAAGCTGCATCCAAGCCACGAAGTGAAAGGAAACAAATCAGCCGCAAGTATAGTGACGATGAAGATAATACCAGTGTTGGTAGCGGTGGAGGTGGTGCAGCAGCAGCATTTACCACACCCTCCCCTCCCCCACCACAGTCTAACCAATCCCAACAAAAAAGATATAAAGCTATATATGACTTTGAACCAGGTACGTTCTTCTCTTGCCCTTATTTTATTGCAAAAACACAGCCTATTTATACAAAATCAAGAAAACTTGACTTTCAAGTTRAAATAGACCTAATCCATTTTTTCCTATTTTAGAGTATATGTCATTCCCTTGAGTATTATTTTTTGTTCACCAGTAATGTAATACTAGATATTGATGAAACTTGAGCAAACAATGTTTTTCTTAGGGAATGACACTTGGTCTGAAATAGAAAGAGTATAGTGTACAAGAGATTGGTTGTCTTTAACTTTCCCGTTACCTCTAACCCCTCTACTCCCAAACCCTCTAACTCCCAGCCCCTATACCTCAGACAACTCCACCCACGATCCCTTTACCCCGACCCCTCTACCCTCAACCCTTACCCCTACTCTTCTACTCCCAACACCTATACCTCCACCACCTTCACCCACAACCCCTCTACCTTGACCCTCTACCCCCAGTTCCTTTACCCYGACCCCTCTACCCCAATCCCTCTACCCCTGCCCTCTGACCCCAGACCCCTCTAACCCCAACCCGACCCGTCTAACCCTGACCCGTCTACCCATATCTCTTTACCCCTGACCCCTCCACCCCTGACCAGTCTACCCCTGACCCATCCACCCCTGACCCTGAACTATAAAAGCCAACCCCTGTAGCCCCACCCTTCACTTGGAGGAGGGAAGCACAAATACAGTGGGTCATTTTACATAGCTGAAACTGTGCTCAAATACATTGTTTTAAAAACTTGTTTTTGTTTTAGAAAATGACACTGAACTTGGATTCAATGAGGGCGACATCATTAGTGTTACTGAGATAATTGAYGAAAACTGGATGGAGGGAACATTAGATGGAAAAACAGGCCTGTTCCCTTCTAATTATGTTGAATCAGTCTAAGAAGACTAGGTTTTTAGTGATAATARTAATAGTGTTACAGCAATTCATTTTAAGATCAAAACAACTAAAATTTAATTGGAAGGTAGTTGTTGGTGAAAAATGTGTAATTTCAGAAAATATTCATACCTTCCACAATAGAAAATTAGTGACCTTTAGATCTGACGACGAGTACAAGATCGAGTGTGAGTTTTAAAGTTGGTTCTGTGCACGTGGTTAACACTAAATCGTAGTCGATTCCCGATTTTTCACAATGTAAAGTTTCAATCTAGGTACACGATCACGACTACAAAAAGATAGTGCCTCTCTTTAAAAGTTAAAAACTGGTACTAGTACGCGTTCTAGTACTCGTCGTCGCATCTAAAGGTCTCTAATGATACATTCCTCCAACCCCTAAATACCCAGAAGTTTATATGATTTTTGTTCTTCTATTGTTCTAAGACCAAAAAGGCATATTTGGCAAATATAAGASCAGAACTTATTTTCTAAGGTTTATAGCATGTAAAGTATCCTTGTTGTGGTGGTGGTAGTATCGACACCTAATAAAGGGAACAGAATTARTGCTGCAGGTCCATGCCACCCTCAAGCCCTCCCCACCCCTTACGAATTTTCATCAGTGCAGTGGGACAGGGTCRCGAAGGGGGTACTTCCTACACCAAAATCCTGCGTCCCGTGAAAAATCAAAAATCCGGGGAAAAATCAATAAGAAAGCAAAATYCCAAATCCCAGGCATTGAATTTGGCAATTTCAGAGTAACAGCTGATGTAAATTGAATATCCGGAATCATGTAAGAGTTTTTTCTAGTTTCCCAGATCCTGTCCTATATTTTATCTGTTTCCCAGCTTCTGGGAATACCCTRCCAGACCCTGTGAGGAGGTATGGATAATTTCTGATATATAATATGATTCTATAATGGGAATGTATACGTGCTATTCATATATAACTAACTGAAGATTCAAAAACAGAATTTATCATGTCGATARCATTTGTAAATTTGGTATTGCCGTAAAATGTTTGATTACAAAACAGATAAATACTATAAACATGAATAATATGGTATATTCAAGAATAGAAACTAAGGAATACCCTCAAAAGTGGGGCAGCTTATATTTAGAAAATGAGTGGACYAGCATATGGGTGTGTTTAACAAACTAATAAATAATTAATGAGTGAAACAATAGAAATCATGACCATGAAGAGGTTTTATAATAGGCCCTTTGCAGTTCAGTAATCACGTGCTGATTAATTCACTGAGAGCAAATGAATGAACATCTTGATTCCCATGGGTGGAATATACAGCTGTTGAGCAAACAAAATTTATACAACCTGTTTTGAGAGATCGAACGCACTGCTTACACATTGTTTCAATCAGTTCTTTACAAGTAGCTAAAAAGAATCGCCAATTTAAAATGGGATAACAAAATTTGCTCACCAGTACAACCACGTGACCGTTAACTGCAAAGGGCCTATTCTGATACAGAATCATGTTCATTTGCATAAACTTTAACTTGGACTTTCTTGGGCAGATTTACTTTTATCTTGAAAATTTTAGTGAAACACAAAAGAACTAACCTAGACCTTTGTTAACAATATACAATATTTGTATCCGTGATGTATATGATGTATAAACTTGCCTATGCCTTGAGTTTATTATCACATACAACATGGCCACTCGTACTGTATATATTACATAAAACCTTGATTTTAGGGGTCTGAAACTTTAAGATTTAGTGGATATCAGTGAGGAGTGGAGAAAATAAACCCCTACCTCCCCTCCCTAATTTCCTCTAAACTTAGGTTATTGGGAAGGAAGACAAGGCAGACAGCTGCAGTTAAAACCTAGGACAGAAAATATACCTCAAATAAATTCCTTGTATCTGTAAATACAGTAAAAACCTGCGAATAATAAGTTAGCCTAAAAAGGTTCTTAGAGTGAAGTCATTAAACCCGTGAAATAGACATTAGACTAACACATGTGTGTCTATTTGACTATTACACATTGACTAGTATTTTTTATTTCACGAGTTAAATGCCTTCACTCTATATAAATGGTGTTTACTTAAAAATTAGGCTTTTAAGGTTCTGAAATAGGTTCTAATTTTCTCAAGAAAAGAGCTACTCATCTTTGATAGGTGTGGTCTATTATAAATAATATTAGACTTGAATTTATTATTTCAAAAAATGTTCTCCAAATGACTGCAATCTAAGCAAAATTAAAACACTAGAACAGTAATGATAAAAGGGTAAATTATACACCGTGAAAAGATAAAAAAACTTACTGACGCTTCGGACGCTAGTCCTTCGTCAGTGCTTTTCATCTTTTCATCTTTTTATCATTACTGGTTCATTAGAAACACTGACGCAGCTCACACTAGTTTTTAGTTAATTATCTCTTCTCACACTAGAACACTATTTGCACTTTAAAGCTAAACTGTGTGTAATTTACTTTATAGAGTTTATTTCCTTTGATTTATAACCTTTTAGTTTTGAATCTATTTGATAAAATAAGAACCTGCTTTGAAATTTTAATCTTAAACAGGTTCTTATGTAAAGGGAGTCTAAATGGAAAAAAATTATTCTAACAGTTTCTTAAATCCTAGGTTCTCATAAGCTGGTTTTTACTGTGACTTAGTCAACCATTCCAACTAAAATCTCAGTTTTGGCTTTTCATATRCTCCACTTTCAAATTCCCTTTTGCCCAGTATTAGTTTTGGTATAGAATATTCAAGATGTGTTTCAGTGAAGGTCAGAGTGAAATTTCCGTGTTTTTATTGTTAAAGTTCATGCATTCATTCTTTTGATGATGCTGAATTGGAATTATTTTTGACTGTAGTCAGAGTATAATATATAAATGACAGCAGTATTTTATAAAATCAAAAAAAACTTTCAACATTAATTTTGTCGTACCTTTAAGGGGTTGAAATCAACATGGCTTCAACAGCTTTTTTAATGCGTGAGTACCTTTTATATTGTATGTTATTATTAGATTATTATATATTTATGGGTCATTTTCAAAAGCGACTGACAATTATCCCTACCACTTTGACAAAGGGAGTACCCCCTCCGGGCACTCTTAGACGGTACTGCTTGTTTCTTTTGTACGTATTTGTTTTAACATAACATCTTTGTGGGTGGGTGCCCCTTGAACACAGAACCCCCCCTCTTAAACAAAATCCTGGGACCACCCATGGATAGGATGAAATGCTTTGGTGTTTCAAGGCAATGAAAAGCAGCTTCAACTTGGAGATAATGGCATGGAAAATTGAGATTGTTTTGAGATGGACTACCTATGACAATAAAACTGATCCTGGATGATTTCACAGCTAGGCTGTTTCCTAAAAATCAAGGATACAGTTTCCTGTTCAATGTTTTAAAAATCCAAAGTAGAGTGGCTAGCCTTCCCACCTATCTTAGCCTGCGTTCTGTGTTCAGAAATTATATCTYGAAATATTTTGAGAGAAATTATACCTGCTACACCAATCGTTGCACAAGTATTTTTTGTAATTTCATAGTTCTGAATCGTAAGTCCTCAACACTTTGGTATTGTTCAAAAAATATATAAGAGAAATTTTGCAGACCTTATGTGCAAATTAAATTAGTTGTTGATCTTTATAGAGAAAAGTATAATACAAAAGGGATTGTATAGAAATTTTGAAACATTGATATTACAAAATTTAAAAAATACAACGAAAGTAGCTATTTGGATACATTAGTTATAGATTAAAAAAAAGAAATTCAATTAAAAARTAAAGTAGATGCCAATGAATCGAATAAATAAATGGGAAATTGGAAAAATTTTAATTTCGTGTTGTGGGTTACCTGTGGTACCATGATACTTTGCGCGCGGTTGAGTATTTCCAAAATGGCGTCGTTTCTTTCTCGTTCTGTAAGACCAACTTTTAGCGCATTTATTCGTCCATTTGTAGCTCGTTCTGCCGCCTACACGACAGAAAAAGGTCAAATGGTTGCTGGACAAGGCGAAACATCTGTTGATACGGCAGTAGATAGCGAACAAGTAAGTTTTTAGACCACGATTTGTCGAGTTTTCTATCAAATTTTCTTTGCCCATCACTATTAAAAATCTTAACGCTCTCTGCGTTGTTTATCCCAGTCAGGGAGGATTGCTGTGTTGTCTGGAATACCAGAGTGGCATCTCAAAAACCGTAAAGSCAGGATATTCTTCCCTGCTAAGAATGCCATGCAGTCGGGGACTCAAAGTTTTCGTACTTGGAGACTGGAGTTTGAAAACATGGAAAGATGGGAGAATCCTTTGATGGGCTGGGCTTCAACGTAAGTAACTTTAAAATCTCTTTTATACTTAAACAGTTTTGTATTTTTTTTTAAGATGTAGCATTGTATCCTATTAAGAAACAAATTCATTTCATGGTATGAATTGGCACTCCCTATCCCCACACAGACACACACACATACATGTACCCTCAACCAAATGATTTCTATGTTTTTTTCGATTCCTTAGTATCCCACCCACACCCCACCCCTCCCCCACAGGTTTATAAAATAACTAAATAATTATTTCATATCTTGCATTTTGATTGGTTGAGTTGTAGAGCTGKCACAAGAACAGCTGGAACTTCAGAGGCTTTGCACCATCATGTGATGGCAGCCATGACAGGAGGTACAACAATAGAGCCGTTTTCCCCCCTGGAAAACTGAAATCTTTTTCATGTAAATCAGATTGAAGCAGATTCAATTGTGTCAATGTCCTGTCATGGCTGCCATCCCATTATTGCCTATTGTACCTGAAAGTTTATCTGTGGAGATGAATTGTGCAGTAAGTCCGTGTTTTTTCTTTAGTGGTGATCCCTTGTCTAATGTCACTGTTGACTTCCAATCTAAAGAAGATGCCATAGCCTTTGCAGAGAGCCAAGGTAATTATCAATAAACATTTTTTAAAGTTTTAAATCACTGCTGTGTTCCTTGATTCCATGGTTAGCTATGAATCAATGTCTAAATATTCATAAATACCAATGGTAAAGTAAAGAATGCTGAACCTCATCAATACAAACACTTTGAAATTCCAAGAACCTTCAGTGGAGGACATGAATATTCTGTACAAAATCAAGGCTAACACTGAGCAACAGAGAACTCGAAACTAGAGTATTGTTATAGGAATACAAGCTCAGTTTAGGGATGATCAAAAAAGACTTCTTTAAATTGGAAGTAAGGTCATTTCAGACCACATTATTCCCTGGATGTTTTAAAAAATATTGGAAAATTTTAAATATCATGTCTTTCTTTAATGAGTGTACGTAAAAAGATATATGAATATGAACACACCTCAAACAAAGAATCTTATGCTCAAGGGAATAAAAAGAGAAAACACTACAGCTAAACTAAAGAAGCCTGTTTAAGTGCATGACTCCATGCATGACTCCAAGTTCAATATTTCTGTCTCAAGTGAAAAACAGGGGAAACACTTCCAACCATGCATTGATGTCATGGCCAGAACACTTTGCATTTTCGCTACTCCAATGGAACAACCACCCCTAGGGGGTGTACTCCGGTGGGGAACATGACGGGGGGGGGGGGGGGGGTCCGACAGAGCTTCATATTGCAACCCCAAAAAATACTTAAACCTGAAATTCTACACCCAAAAAAATACATGGTATCAGTATGTTTCTTTACGGGACTCACTCATGCCTTGCTGGAAAAAAAATCAAACAAATAATTTTGTGATACAAAAATCGAACTCGGAGATGTGATGACCCAAAAAAATACGGGTTTCATTTCAAGACCTAAAAAAATATGTGGCTGGTCTCTTGACCATAAAAGATACCGGTAACGAAAATTGTCAACCCAAAAAAAATATGTTGGACCTCCCCGTCATGTTACCCACCCGGGTACACCCCCTGGACAACCACCCCTAATCTGTATTTTGAATTTCCAGGGTTTAATTATGAAGTGGATGACCGACATGAAAAGAAGGTTCTACCAAAATCTTATGGAGCTAATTTTTCATGGAACAAGAAAACTAGAGTCTCTACTAAATGAGTCGTTTAATTTTCAGTTTGTTTCATTTTGTAAATAATTTGAGTAAAAGTATTAAAAGTTTGATTAACATTTAATCTTTAGTACTGCTCTTTATTTTACAWTATTTTTATAGCTTTATATTTACAGAAATATTTTACTGAATTTTTTATCAATTTTTCATTATTTCACTCCACATTAGARTGGTTTTCATTAACCAGTCAAATACACTTTAGCTTATTTAGTACTGTTACTCTAATTCTTTTGTTTTCTATTGTGGTTATCAGACTATACACTCAATTTTTTTGAGTGTATTATAAACAAAAAATCAAACAATCTTCTCATACAATTCAGAATTTATAGATACTTGTGAGGTTTTGAAAGTTCTCAAATTGAACTCTCCTAAAGGCTCGTCCAATTTTGAAAACTTCCAAAACGTCACTCGTACCTACAGTATAAATTTCCAATTGTACTTGAGATTGTGCGATTTCCTATACAATTAGTACACTTTGTTTCATGGGTTTATGTAAACCTCTCTAACAACCAACATTATGGTTCCTTGAGCAGGGACTGCAGGGTAAGGCTTTTTAGGGATTTATTCTATTCATTTATTATTCATATTATTATCTTTAATTTAGGGGTATTTTATTATATTTCTTGTGAATATCCCTTATATTCCCAGACAGGAAAATTCCTCTTGTCAAACTTTTCTTATCTTCAGAGATGAGATACTTTGATCACTGAGATCAAGAGAAAATTTTGAGAATCACATTTGTCATTGTTCGTTTTTCTGCATGCACATACTGCACACGCTCTACGCTGATTGCTCACGTTTTTACGAAAAACAAGAAAACTTGAGCAATCAGCAAACAATCAAATCAAWGATTCTAAAAATAGCATCAAAGATTCTAAAAATAGCATCAAAGAGTGCTCATGATGGGGYGCGGGGATTCCTTCTCTTAGTTCATTTTCTCTTGCTGAGATTTATGAATCGAAAATTCTGGATACGAATTAAGGTATAGATAGATGGATTTCATAAGTTGTAGTTTACGCTCTGAAAAAGAGCAAACACTGAATCCATGAGTCACTATCAAATCACTTAACCAGAGCAGCACTTAATAATATTAATGAATCCCTTGCAGTCTGTCGGAATGCACTCGATTTTTTCAAGTGTCGCCAGTAAATAAATGATTCTCAAGAGAGTGACAAGTGGTCTRAAAGTGGGAAAGAATYGTGCTAGCCTGATATTAGAGGTCTATTGTGACTCTTGAGTGAAAATACTTTCRTTAATGATCATTTTGTGGCATATTTAAAATTATTTTTCCACCAGCTTACCTGTAGTTGGTGGTCATTTGTACGTTTTTTAGTTCTTGCACGCTGCATAATCTCATATGGTCCTTACAATAYGCCATTACCATAGCAACTATTTATCATTTTTAACAATTAAATCCTAAAAACATTATGTAAAAATATTCTCTAAATTTTCATCCATCACTTTACCCAAGCCATTCTCATCGTATTCGAATGACAATAATTGTAAAAGCCATAACCATAGCAACCATAAACCAATTGAATTGTAAACCTAGTGCTGAGCTTTGGATTTCTTCTATGGATAGTTTTGTCTCTGCTTCTTCAGGTAATGGAGCCAATGCGACAAGGGCAGCTGTGATGTTATGTTTAGCTAGGACTACTTGTTTGGTTGTCATGGAGAGGAAAGTAGCCAGAAGAGTTAATATTAATGGCCTTGACATTTTTGTGAACAATGGAAACCTTAAAAAATAATGATAATTAATGATCTGGGCTAATTTAAATAATGACAGAATTTCAAGGGGGGGGGGGGGGGGTATA